TCAAACTTGGGAAAGCCAAGAATCTGAAATGGAGACCTCAACTTCATGAACTTGCAGATCAGCTTAAGCCATTGGAGCTCCAAATCCGAGGCTGTTTCTGTGGATCCCTTGAAATTGATGGCGAAACCTTATCATGGGTTGTGCTCATTGATGGTTTGTTTTTAATTGATTTACTTCAAAATGAGTTCAGTAATCGTCCCCTTAAGCTCCCCTTAGAGATCTTTTATGGGAAATTATGGTCTGAGTTTGAGATTGTTAGTGATATGGTGAAGCTTGAGAATCAGATTCCATTACTTGTTCTTCAAGAAATTTGCCCCGATGAACCCTTTAACTATTTGGCTCCTCTTTTTTACCAATTTTCTGCATCTGTTTCCCCATTTGAATTGGTATGTTTTGGATTTGCCTCCAATTTGCCTGAAATCTTCGATTCTTCCCACCATTTGCTACATTTTGTGTATTTTCTAATCTTGCTTATTCCTGATGAGATGGCTGTGGCAAATATCTGTGCTTATTCTATGCCAATTGGAATGGATTCTTCTTCTTCTTCTTCTGTTGAGCTTTTAGGTGAGAGTTTGAACATTTTGGGGTCTGTTATTAGCATAGCCTTCATTCAGCAAGTGAAAGAGACATTTGGTTTAATTCGACGTTTGTTTAGACTTTTAGGATCTATAACAAAGCCCAATTTGTGTGAGAAAAAGCTCCCTATGATAATCCCTTCTGCTTCAGACTTGAAAACTGCTGGAATCACATTCAAATCCACCAATAATGGCGTTTTAAAGTGTCGTTTTGATGAGAAAACGCTCACTTTAACATTGCCTTCCATTCATCTTGATTGGTTCTCTGAAGTTCTGCTTAAAAACCTAGTGGCATTTGAAGCAATGGCAGAGCTGAATCCGCAGTGTTTGGTGAATTACATTGCCTTAATGAAAGGGCTATTGAGAAACTCCAAAGACTTGAAGATTTTGGAGAAAGCAGAGATTGTTCACAACCATTTGAGCAATGAAGAACAGGCTGTGGAGGTGTTTAATGGGGTTGAGAATTCAACCAGCAGCTTGAAGAAAGAGGAGGTTTTGAAGATCCATCTCAAAAGTGGTCTGGATTGTGAGATTGGAAGTGGGTTCATTCAAGATATCAAGATGAACTATGAAATGGGATTGGGGAGTATGGTTGAAGAGATCAATAAATGGTATGGGAGCTGCTGGAGGATGAAGATGAAGAGATTCATGTCTGTTGTTTTCAAGTGTTTTGCAGTTCTTGTTGTTGTGTTTGTGATTGTTCTTGTGATTGCTCGATTTGCTTGCAATTTTGTTAGCTGCTCTGTCGGAATGTTTAAAACCAGTGATGCTCTGCATCAGATGTATTGAGGATAAGGTTGATTACATCTGGTCTAAAACGCTTATAGAATTTGTCCTTTTCGGACTTTTTCTTTTGAATTTTTCTTCAATGTTTTAAATTTCACTCCCTTATAAAGAATGATTCGTTCTCCTACTCGATCAATGTGGAATCTCACAAGCATTCTTCAAGATTATACAACGACAATGACAAGATAATCATCACTAAACAAGGACATGACATGCCAACAAAACCTATGTGTGTTGGCCCAAAAAACCTATGTATGTGTGCTAGAGTGTGTCCGGATGACCTCTCTCTTGCACAAATTCGCTCACGGTAATCATCAGAGCTAAGTAGGTAGATCTAGTGGTTTGGATGAGGTTTATGGAGATACTCTTAAAAGCAAGAATTGAGTAATGTGACCATCTAGTCACAAATGTCAAATCACTCAGTTGAAAAATGATTTTCTTCTGTCCTTTGTTAATTTTTTAAACAACTTTGAAATTTTATTTCTAAATTCTCTCCCTCACCTCTTTGTGTGATGTTTTGATCAAATTTGTCTTACTTGTGGCTGCTTCAATCATAAAAATATTAAAAGAAATATGAAGCAAATCAAGAGGTATAAGTAGATTAAATCCATAAACAATTTCAAAAACAAAACAACGAGTGATATTATGAATTGCCCAAAGTCTACCAATCACAAACCTTAGTCCCAAGACTTAATATTCTTAGAAATAATAGCCGTAAGCAATACTTGTAATGTTCTATTAACTAGCTCAGTTTGCTCATTAGTCTGAGGATGACATGTAGTTGAAAATGTGACTTAAAAATTTAACCTCCTATCACTAACAATTATTCTAGGAATTTCACGTAATATTACTACTTTCTTAAAGAATAAGTCAAGTAACATGCTTTGCATCGTCGATCTTGTTGCATGCAATAAAATGAGTCATTTTACTAAATTTGTTTACCAATCCTTTTTAGTGTGCTGCAAACAAAGAACAAAGTCCATAAATATACTAGTCCAAGGTTTCTTAGATACACATGAGTATACAATCCATTTGGTTGTAAATTAGATTTAGCTTTTTTGCATTTAAAAGATTGGCTACAAAACTTATGAATATAGTGCTTCAGCTTGGGCGGAAAGAATTGTTTATGCATCATGTTATAAGTTTTAGTTATATTAATCCTAAAATGTCCCATGAAGGCATCTCCATGTGATTCTGTAACTTTCTTATAGAACATTTTGGAAAACAAAGCTTACTTTTCTTAAATAAAAATTCACGAAACACATAACATGGCATCTTATTTTGCAAAATGGGTCTTTTGTACATAATTCCCGTCTCTTGCGTTTGTCCGAAGTGTTGCGCCAAATAGGGGATAACATAACCCAACGCCAGAGGAAGGCATTTTGTATCAAGTTTTCTATCTGTTCCGTATACATCTACTTTGGCTCAAATGAGACCTGCATGTACAGTTTTTAGGGGGATCCAATTGAAAGACCGGTTGACGCCCACCCGACTAGAGGATTGAGAAATTAATGATTCAACCTAAATTCATTTAGAGCCCACGAAAGATGAGCTAGGAGTAGGGGGGGCTCCAACCTTTCCGTCGCAAGAGATTGCTCTTCGAGGTATAGCTCAGGAGGGCTCCAGCCTTTATTAAGAAATGTTATTTGCTGGTCTTTTAGAGGGAAGATAGAAAGTCAATGCTTTTCCCCTCGAAGCCAAAATCTTTCTTTCTTCCCCGTAGCAAAGGTCGGACCTTCTTCTTTCATTGAAGAAAACAATTCTTTTTGTCGAAGATAGGAGGATGATATAATATCTTAATTCATTCTCTTATAATAGTAGTTCTTTACAAGGGGAGGTAGGATAATCTGCACCAGACCATGACCGCTGGACAACTGGATGCGGGAATCTTGCTCTATGTGCGCCTGTGGCAGGTCGAAGCCAAAAAGTTTGGGATTTGTGGCTGGGTCGGAATGTGGTTCTTCAATTTCAATGACTAAGATTCAATTTCATTCTCTTTGACTTTCCAGGAATCTTTGGTTATAAGGGAGCGCTGAACACTGAAAGTGAAGTTGCTCCTACCTATAGGAGCTGTAATATTCCAGTAATTGCCGCAAGGAATGATAAAGAATGCATACATTAAATAAGCGTAAATGAGCGTGAAAGGGAAGCGGGGTTCTCATTTTCACCTTTCTTTTGTCTCATAGAATCACTCCAATCTAAATTTGACTTTAAACTCTAATCATCTGCACCTTTTTCAGCGGACAAGACGTAAAAATAGTTCAAGTCTTGATCATCTCTATATAATTCTTTAATATGCTCAAATCCAAGAATTTTGTAAGAGAAGTAAAGAGATCGTACCTTCCAAATAACGCATGAGCTACATATTATCCTCACCTTGATTATATTTGATGACATAAAATGTTTCAATAAACTCTACTCATTTTGCATGCCTACGATCGAGTTTGCTTTTACCCTTAAAATACTTGCTTTCATGATCAGGGTGTATCACAAATTCTCTAGGCCATAAGTAGTGTTGTCATATATGCAATATATGATCTAAAACAAACAATTCGTTATCATAGGTAAGATAGTTCAATCCTGACTCATTTACGTAAAATGACATTTATGCTTAAACCACTCCCATCACACTCAATCTCAAAAGTTTTATCAAAGTTGGACAAGATGCCTCGGATAATTTCTTAAGCTCATTGAATAAATTTTCTTACATATCCCCATTTAAAACAACATTCTTTTTCGGTATGTTGCTCAAATCTTTAATAAATCTTAGAAGCTACGTAACCCATGAAAACTTCACTTGCATTATTTTGTGTTGGCCAATCCCTAATTTTCTCTTCATCTACTCTTACTCCATCTTTACCAACCATGAAATTAAGAAAATTCAATTTTTCTATGCAAAAACTACAAAAAAAATGACTTAAAACGCTCCACGATCAAACAAAGTCCTCGAATAAATTAAAATATCATCAATATACACAACAACATACTTTTCGAGGAAGCATTATATATTAATGCGTGTAAATGTACTAGGAGCCGTGGTTAACCCAAAAGACGTAAAAAGCAATTCATACCATCCATACTTAATTTTCCAAGTTGTTTTTCAATCATTTCCTACATGCATTCTAATTGGATGATATCCATATTTCAAAGCAATTATAAATTGACATGAACCATGCAATTCATCAAGCATATTGTCTAGCCTAGGAATAGGATGTCGATACTTTACCGTAATTTTGTTGATGGCTCTACAATCCACGCACATGGGCCAAGTTTCATCTTTCTTTGGCACTAATAAGACTTGTATAGAACATGAACTCAAACTTTCTCGTATATAACCTTTCTCTATGAGCTCCTCCACTTGCCTTTGAATTTCTTTAGTTTAAGTTGAATTGACTCTATATGTTGGCTTGTTTGAAACGATAGCCCTCGTGATCCAATCTATCTTATGCTCAATACCTCTTAAACTATTTTAGGTTGATTATTGAGCTAAACGTTGAATCGTAAAATTTAAATGTTTTATTTTATTTTATGGATTTAAAAGGCTATATTTTAATTATTAATCTTTTCCATAATTCTAAAATATTAAACGCCATTATAAATATACTTTTGGGTGTTAAATCAAGTTAGCAGCCGTTGCCGCTGCATTAAAGTCCCTCAAATCTCCATGCGAAAAAATAAAAATAAAAAACCAGCTAAAATTCCGCCATTTTCGACCCTTCCCAATTTCCTTCTCAAGAAATTCCGACCAAATCATCCTCCTCGAGAAAGCTGCAGAGATCGGCGAAGGGATGTCTCGATCTCGAAGCTCCATATCTCTGCAATTCCTCTCTTTCCTTCTCTCCCTCTCTCCCCATTCTCTTTCAGGTACAAATCCACCTTTTCGCTTTTCAAATTCTAAATTCGGTTTTATGTTCTTTGTAACTCTGGTAGCTAGACCGAGTTGAATTTCTTAAAGAATTGTAGCTATGGTGATTTCTTGTTGCTTTTCTGCTGAAAATATTGTCGCATTGTTTTTTTATTGTAGATTTTAGGGTAACGTTGTTCTGTTCCGTAATGGTTTGGGGAATTACCGTTCTTAGGATTCATGGCATTGGAATTGTAATAAGCAAAAAGAATGGTGGGAGAGATGACTCGATATTTTGATTGCAATTTCACGAATACCCTGTTTGCCTTTTTCCTCCCTTTTTGCCGCTTGCTGTGTATTTGTGTTTCTTGCGGAGGCATTTGAAATTGTGATTTTTTAATTTCTGACGTTTTTGACTTGTGTGAAAATGAAAAACAAGATGAATGTAATTGAATTTGAATGTGTCTTATAATTTAGACCTCGAGTTGTAGTTGGATGGACAAATGATTGATTGGTTATGGTTTTGGTTTTGTTTTTCTTGCCATTCCAGTGTTGGCAGGTGATCATTCAAGTGCTAAAGATGGTAAAACTAAAAAGCACGATGCTCAGAAGAGTCCATCAACAGGGATCAAGATGCTAATCATATGTCTAGGTGTGGTGACTTTCATTGCGTTTTCTGTGATTCTATTCAAATTATGGCAAAAGAAGAAGAGAGAAGAACAACATGCCCGTCTTCTCAAGCTGTTTGAAGACGATGATGAACTCGAAGTCGAACTTGGCCTTCGGGATTGAGCTCTCTGATCCTCATCCTCCATATCCAACCAATTAAGAGGAGGTGCACATTGCGGATTCCATTGCCTTTTGTTTAATGATATGTACAAGCTTTTTGATCTTATCCTGATTTTGTTTTTGGTTCGTAAAATCATAGCAAATTCTTTGTTGTCAATTAGTTTTGAATAATGTTATTGCTCCTTCAATCATTCATCTATACATGTGTATGATCTCTGAGGCATGTTTCAAATATAAATCATTGTTTAGACAATTGTTCATATTAGAAAATACATGGAGATTGAATACTGAGCATGACATTTGATTCTGAAAGAAACCTTTGTTATTGTACCATTTGAGAATCATTGATAATAACCAATAGTTAAACCGTGACCATGAATCGAAACTTTAGAGACGTAGATGCTAGATGACAATGGTTACCTTTTTATGTAGAGCTAAGAACTTCAGAATCTCTTATAAATAAGCTAATCAGGGCTGCCAAGTTAGACTTTCATGTTTTGTCAAACTTATACCAACTTGGTTGAATTGGAACATGAAAGTGACGTTGTTTTTTGACAATCTGGCAAGTATAATCGGCAACTGAAATCCTTTGGTGAGGGGAAATCGTTTGACAGGAAGTTGTTGGAAGAAAATAAAGATACAAAAAGAACAGGGAGAGAATTGCTGAAGACTTTTGCTTAAAATGAGTGCTTCAACTAAATCTAAATATCTAACTTATCCTAAAAATGTCGTGTTTGTCAAATGGTGAAACGGTATTCCATCAACTAATGAAAACGTGTAAATATAAATAAGAAAAACCTCAAAGTTTTATCTAACAAGTGAGAGGATGAATGTAACTGTCTAACCCCACTGCTAGTAAATATGGTCGTTTATGCGTTTTCCCTGAACATGCAGGTTTTTAAAATGTTTTTAGTGAGAAGTTTCCACATCCTTATAAAGAATGCTTCATTTTCCTCGGCAACCTATATGGATCTCACAATGAACATCACCGGGTTGTATTTTCTTTTATGTGTTGAAAAAAGGTGCTGTGTTTTTATTGAAACGAAGTTGTATTAGAAATGTTAGAGAGGTTGGTTGGAAAGTTGAAGGTTTATGATAAACGGATTTGGTTTGACCCAATTGTTCTGATTTCTCTGAACATGTAGTAAAGCACTTTTGCAGAGGCTGTTTTGAGCTAAGAATTTTGGTGGTTTGTGGAGCAGCCAGCACCAGCAGGTACTCATAGCTTTAAGACTTAATTCAATAGTTTTGGCCCAAACAAACTGCTCTGAGTTAGTCTAATAGTCTCATTGGGGCAAGAGAAAGACATTGAAGATGGCTTGTTCTTAAATTATAAATCTATTATGTAACAATTTAGTAAGGGTATTTGTGAGTTGGATTAGATCGGGTTAGGTCATTTTTTAGATCCAGTTTGATTGTTGTTTGAGGTATAATATCATGACTATGCATTAGTACTAATCATAAGAGGCAAGTATTCCGATGAATATGATATAAACGATGCATGAGGTCTCCATAGCTCTAAATCATGACATATACTTATGATGGAAGTCGCGCCTCCGTTATTTTCATGACATAACATTTTTATGAAACATGCATACATAATACTTGTCATATCTTTCATGATTAACGTACATGACTTTTTCATGTCTCATAGGCATAGTATGAACATACTAACATTAGATTACAATGCATGACATATGGAGGTTCATGCATCATTCAATATCGATATCACAACATAGCTCTATAACATAACAAAATCTCATCATAATATAACTTATAATGTTATCAATCATTAACTATAGGTAGATTAAGATTAATTCACATATGATCATCGTTTGAAAAAATTATCTTCTCAAATAACATATTTATAAAGAAAGATTAAATATTTGTGGTCCACTCTTATATAAACTCATTGTATAAGATACTCATACTCACATGGCTCCTCATGAATGATTTGGATTAAATGATTGGTAAGGATTAGATAGTGGATCATATCAATGATATTATCAGGATAATGCACTAAACCTTGTTCATATACTATAGACTCTTTAGGTCATTACTTGAACATAATTCTTTTGTACGTCAACTACATCTTTTTTATGTTGAAGGTTACACTAATAACAGTAGATTTTTTCATACAATAAAATAATCAAAATTAATTATAAGATTTTAGGGTATAAATTCCAACATATTAAAACAACAAGACATTCTCTAACAGGGCTAGATATGTCTACATACATATTCCAATAACAAGCAAAATTAAGGGACCAAGTTTCTTTTCAAAATCGGATTACTGTTCAGGACTTGACATGAATCAGAATCATCTAGTTCAATTATAACCAATACAAAGAAACACTATTCACCAAGCCCGTACGCCAGTGATAAGTTTCTAAGAGTCGTGGACCATCGATAATGTCTAAGAACAACACTCCGATTCTTATGGAACTAGTCAATCAAAACTTAGGCTTATCGAGTACAGTGACCTTGATTACTCCTCTCAATAACCTTGGTGACTAATTACTCAAGCACACATCATGTAATTATCACAAAAGTTATTTATATCATAGAAATCATCTTAGACATAAAATATGTCCAAACATAATATAAACATGTTTTATGATATATCACACTATATAAACCCTAAACTCATGCACGTGTATACATATCGAACAATTTTAGAAACAAAAATTAAGTCAACAAAGAGGTCACCTACTCGATTACATTTCCAACAAGGTGTGAGTATAAGTATCCGAAATCTAGCATCACCAAAACACATGTATGTTAAATTCAAATCAACCATTGCTATAGACAAAAGAAAACACACCAAAAATAGAGGTTTCACTAACTGGCAGCTATTGTAGCAGCTTAAGACGACAGTGTACAGCCGGCGGCGGTCTCAAGACCCAATTCAACAAATGTACGTCAAAAAAAGACCGGTGATATCAAAACGCAAGTGCTATCGAACCACAACAACTTTGTGCATATCTCGATAAAACTCATGATATAGTGTGAAATCTAAGTCCAGATAGAACTGACTCACTCCAAAATCTCAAACGATCCAATAAAACATAAATTCATACGTCTCGTATAAAATTTCAACTGTGTATCTAATTCCTTCTACTCACTTTTTTAAAATTTAGAATTGAAGTAGAAATCTCGATAAGCTACAACGAACACGGGTAACGATTTTTATTATTCAAAAGAAGGGTTTAGGGTGATAGTTGAGGTTTGAGAAGGGCAATTATGAATGCCCAAAGTAACCCAAACAATATTGGAAAAAGAGGTTTCTATTTAAGGGCGAAGAAAGAGAGATTTGTACATAAAATCATACCGCTAAATTTCCGTTTTCAATTCCCATTTTCAATCTATTAAAAATAATAATAATAATAATACCGTTACACATTAGTACTACAAGATTACTACAAGTTATTGAATCATTTAATATGTATTATTGGTTCATGTTGGCCTATTTTTAATATTAATTTCAAATTTAATCATATTAACTCATCTTGCATTAGACTGCATTAGGAGGGTAAATATAAACCCCTTAAATAGTTACTGCGGATGGAAAAGACCGTTTTACCCCTACAAAGTTGACTTCCACCATTTTTCTATAATTTAATTCAAAATTCTACCTGATTATTTACAATTTTTTATTATTATTATTATTATTATTATTATTATAGTTTGGATGTGAATTTATTTTTTATTAAAAAAAAAAAAAAAAAAAAAAAAAAAAAAAAAAGAGTTGTAAGGTAATAAATGAGATTATAATAAGCAAAGCATTGATTGTTTATGGACCACCAAAAATGGGGTTTCCCAAAGTGGGAGATGAAATTGGGTTAACAAAAGGCGAAGAAATGAGCATTTTGGGTGAGGAATCAAAGCCTCCCACACCAAACCCTAATTTGGTTAAAGTATTCAATTCTAAGATTTTGAGTTTGTTAGCCAAAATAAGGCAATCAAGTGGTCCAATCTCTCTCCTCCCTCCCTTTTTCCACCTCACCCATAATCTACTTTCTTCCTCCTCCAACGCCGCATTTGAATCAGAGTGATCTTAACACACTTATAGAATTAAAAATACCTTCAAAACTTTTTTATTTAAGACCGAAAAAAAAAAAATAATGGTTTGAGTTTAAACAAAACTTGAAATTGGAAACTAAACGGGGTTAAAGATAGAAAATAAAAATGACTAAAGTGTGAAAGCTATCTAACACGAATTGTCTCATGGCCTTCGTAGTAGACACGCTCGACTATCTAGGATTCACTTGCTTTTTATATAAAAGTTGGAAAACGTTGAGTATTTAAATATAGTACTCGATAAGTAACCTCAATGTTAGGGTTAGGAAACACAAACATGTGTGATATAAGATAAGGTGTCTTTTGGACATGGTTGGATTTTGGGAGAATTCGTTGTATTTTTTAATTTTAAAATAATATTTTTAAGGTTTTAATTACTACCAGTTGATACCATAATCATGGGCATGATAGTTAGGTTATATTAGTATAAAGATTTTGGATATTATAATAAAATTACATATATTGTTTATATGAGCATGTTACTTTGCATTTCTTGTGTTTAGATATACATGTTAAACTCGTTCAAGTGATTTAGATCAAGTTATCTTGTGGAGTGATTCGAACCACAAATTTAGAAACAAATTTTCTTTTACTCATAATTCATTCCAAAATTTCTCTTGAATTAATTCTTTATGGTTCTGGGGCGGTTAGATATTCTAGATCTAAAAGCTTTATTCTCGTTAAGGTCAACAGATCAAATTTCTAAGAACTTCCTATCAACATGCAACATGTTTTTTTACTATCGTGGCTATTTGGACTTAAAACCCAATTTCTCTTGAACTCTGCATTCTTTTATGAGTAAAATTATACGTGCATTTACTTCACCACACACCGTTCATATACTTGTACATCGACGTTAAGTGAGTATCAATTCATCTTATAGGTATGCATGCATTCTAGTCACAGAACTTAACTTTTTCTAAAATACAGTTGGATGTGTATGCTATTAATCGATGTCATGCTTATTTGATCAAGAGAATATATGTTTTGGGACTGCATATGTGCATGTTATAATTTTGAAAGTAATAAATGTGGTAAAGGTTATAGTCTTTGTGATTCGAGTAACTAATCCCTATTGATCATATGAGGTAATTGCTAAAAATAATTTGTGTTTATATGTTGTGTGTATCAGTAACTAACCAACCACTAATAGTTACCGTGGATTGATTGCTGAAAACTACTTTAGGTGAGTAGATTACACGTTGTGTGTTTTAAGTAATCTACTACTAGGATCTTTCGATTTTGATTGCTAAACTATACCATAGTTTATATATCTGACCCAAATATAAGAGTGTCTTACTGAATATTTTTAATACTACCCTATTTTAAAATGATTTTTCGATAAGAGCAAGACTGCACCTTAATTAGTATCATTATTCTCTAACGAACAATTTGTTTATGTCCAATGATAAACCAAATTTCTCTCGGCCCAGTGAGAGGGTGGAGCCCTATTATTCAAGTCTGTGAATTTCTTCTCATTAAATTATGTTTCTAATTCCCTATTTAATTAAGTTCTCATACATTGAATTAGCTATAAAACTCATTCTCACCCATGCAAATCAAATCAAAGGACAAACATTCATAGGTAGGAGTTCATAACTCACTCAGAATTAAGATCGGGGTGCATATCATTGTCATGTGAAATATTATATATTCTCAATTAAAGTATTTATGAAAAGAGAAAATATTTCCTAGTCCATTCTTATATAAATTTGTTGTATATGATACTCGCACTCACGTGTCTTCACATCAATGATTTGGATCAAATCATTTGTAACAATTTTAAAATGGGTCGTATAAATAGTGA